GGTCTCAGAATATTACATAGTGATGAATAATATGACTTCTTAAACAAAATCAATGGCCATTACAGAGATTTCTAATCACTACAATAATCAATATTGAAACTTGTTTGGTTACACAAATATACAAAAGATAAACTTTATTAAAACACCACTTTTACACCTAAGATAAGGACAGTGGCAATGGAACTTCTGATAAATTCACAAGTCACTTAACAAGTCTTTTTAAACACTACACTTCAGACTGTAAACTGACAACTTTTTAATCAATATTACAGTGGATACTGTTCACATAAGAAATCTGAATACCGCTGTACTGCCTATAATATTGGATGGGGCAGAAGGTGTATACATCCCTTTTTATAATCACCTAAGATCGAAGGGAAAATAATATACAAAACAATCCATCGAACACTGCAAATCTTCAAGGATTTCAATCATTTCTGAATAATGTTCTTAACAGTGTTTACAGTATGTACAAAGTATTCTCATGTCAACCATTTAGAACACTTATTTACAAACATATTAAATATATTTGAAACATGGTGTTTAACTAAGCCAGTTAATAACCAGACTCTTTGTCAGTAATTTTGGAAACCAAATTGGAGAATTACATATGATTACTTGATACCTATATTTGGAAGCATAACCCTCTACAATAGGGGTTCTCAACCTTTTTGCTGGTGTACCACTAATTATAATTCAACACATTAAATGTACCATTAACCAAATGTGTTCTGGGACAACTTATTTATGTTAATATTAACTTTTGATTTTCTTACTTAGTTTGTGTACCATAGGTTGAGAAATGCTGCTCTAGAAGATTAAAACCTTTATCTCTCCAAGCCACGTCACTATGTAGAGTGAATTGTGTGCTGCAGTCATTTCTCTCTTCATGTTTCATTAATAGTTAACCAGTTAGTTTTGCCATTAAACTAAATTATTCAAATTCCTATAGTTGTATGATATTCATAACACTGTGTCCTGAACTGGATTTTATGAATCCAGGACTTCTATATACTTGTGGGGAAGTGTATGATGTTACTGGGAAATTTTAGTCTTTTAAATGTTTCTAACATTTTTCTGTAATCAGAACTACATTCACAAAGAAATTAAGCAAAAATTATATCCAAGGAATTGCTATCATTTACTTAAGAATCCTTTGTCTTCTCACAGCAAAGCTGTCCCAATACACATCATGGATGTGTTCAGGGGAAGAGGTATAGCTCCTACTCATTCTTGACCTCAGTGCTTCAGCACTAGATGGGGGTCAATGGTCAGCATCATACCCCAGCCATACTTTACCCCTGGGGATAGGACCCCCAGTACCCAATGGATGATTGGATAGGAGGCAAGGTGGGCCCCAGAGGTGGTCTGAACGCAGAGCCTAGAGGAAAAATCCTTTGCCCCAGCTGGGGATCAAACCCTGGTTCTCCAGTCTGTAGTCAGACACTGTAAAGATCAAAATGTTCACAACTACAATTTTACTTTATTTGGCCGGCTTACATTCTGTTGAGGACTGAAAGTAGTATTATTTTCTTATGTCAGGTTACTAGCCTGGTGATAAGTAGTCTAGTGGTAGGGCTGCTACCTTTGGCCTCTGGACAGGCTTTAGAAGAGCATTTACAAAGACAGCAGCTGATTCAAGTCTTGGGAAAACTAATATAAACCCTAAAAATAAAAAATTGAAAATTTAGAATGAAGAAATAAAACAACTAATTTTGAATAAAAATTTAGAATATACGAAATATTTAAATACCAAGAAAGCAGAAGATTCTATTGAATACAAATGCTGTAGAGCCCTAGGAAAACGAGAAACTGGTAAGAGACACAGACAATCTTGGAAAACATTAATTTCACATTTAGAATCACATCTATATAAGAAAAAAACAAATGCATTTAAAATTCTTAAACATATGAATCAAGATACTAAAGAATCTTATCCTAAACTGTGGGACATCTAAACAAGAATTTCTTAAGCACTAAACAAAACTTTTGACTGATATATATATATAAATATATATAAAACAGCGAAACGTGGCAAGATAATAATCATGACAAACAGATAATATTAAAAGAAGAGTTAAATTATAATTTAAATAAGTCAAGAAATGGAAAAGCAACTGGAGAAGATAACATAAATTCAGAGCTCTACAAATATGCAGGATAGAAATTCCATAACAGATTATTAACATTTTTCAATAACATATTTAGAACTGTGCGCATACCAAACGAATGGAAAAAAGTATAATTATACCATTACATAAAAAAGGTGACAAACGTTACTAAACATGTTATAAACATTTTACAAAAATTCTAAATA